TAAACAGTTTGTATTTTATTCTCTTTATCCCAAAGATATTGTGAAGTCTCTTCTTAAGGCTTTAATTCTCACCAGTTATGAAGAGTGCGTGACTCACAAGGAGTTACTTAATGCTGTGTTTGTGTGATTACTTGTGACTTGTGAAATTTTAAACTTGCTTTGCCTGTCTACATGAAGTACTTCCCAATTCTTTCTCCTTTCATGGCCACGTTGCCTTACTAAAGAAAGGAAAAGGCACTGGTTTTGTACCTGGCTGCTGCATGTTAAAGGAAACAGATGGCCTCTGATGTCGTTTTGACATTTGACTGCATGGCAGCATTTCAGTCGAAGAAGCGTTAAGTGAAAGCAGTGATTTCTATTAAGCTTTTCAGTATGTTGTAAAAAATGCAGTGGCTACAGTATTTAGACGTGGCAGAGACACTGTATAGTTGTGATAAATAACTTCTGCCTGAGTCTTCTCATCTCCAAGTCATCTTTTTCAGAAATCTCAGCAGTTACATGAGTACCATTCCAGGCTTCTGAAGTGTTTTGACATGCTTAGGCCATAAGTGGTAGTTTTTATTCTTTCCTTTTATGGTTCATTACTTTTCAAAATGGAGCTGTGTTTGTTACCAGGGTATTTTTTTTTTGTCCAAAAATGGTGTGCCTCATTTCTTCAAGTGACATCAGGTTCTTCACATGTGTCCAGATGTTTCAGACTGAAGGTATATGACAGTGAGGTACTGCTGTGCTTTCTGTCTTGCTCTTGGGTGGCTGTGACAGAGCAGGTACTGGCAGCTGAGGGAATGTTTCCACTCTGCCTCTATCCATTGATTACTGACTTCTTGGGGCTATTTTTGTTGTGACACCTAGATATTCAGCGTCTCTGGCAAAATGGAACGACCTGGGGACACCCACTGTGCTTCAGATGTGGTCTTGCATAATGCTTGTTGCAGAAAAACTCCATGTCCTTCATTCTGCCCAGCAGCTTTGCAAAATAACATCTGTGCATGCAATCACCTGCTCTGATTTGCTTTTGCTGTTGCAATTGGTTACAAGGCACAAAGTTACAATACAGACTCAGTGCAGAACAGAAATAATGGAGCCTTCTGTACGGAATCAAAGAGCTGTGAGTTTGGTCTTTCAGACTGTGCCTCTCTTTAATGTGTTGGTGCTGACTTAGATGACACACTGTTATAAGTGAGATCTATTCAAGTTGGCTGTCATGTCTCTGTGTTCCCTTTTCTATGATTTTTCCAAACCTCATCTTTACTTACTAGGTATGTAGCTCAGACTGAAATTATTTGCAAAAATGAGGCTAGGAAGACCACATTATTTTGCCTATGTAGGCATCTTCCTTCCTCTCCCCAACCCACTTTGCTGTGCATGGTGTGTGGTCTAGAAAGATGGTGATGGTGTGATGGCTAGGAGTTTTTCTGTTAATGACATTTCCATGTTTAAAATCTCTTGTGATTTAGTCTTTCCTTGGGGGATAGAGGAAAGGTCACAATTCTGCACATGTTCAGTGAAGGCTTGTTTTTGACACTCAGTTATTCTGAAGGCTTGACTTAATGTTGAGCAGGAAAATGGTTCAAGAAACTGCATTTTGGGAGTACTGAAAAAAGTAACTGGATCCCAGGAGATTCTTGAGCTGCGAGAAGCTCCCTGATGCTATCATGTAACAGCATTTGTGGCTCCTGTGGAAGAACAATCAACAGGCAAGTGAAAGGAGTGGCGAGAGTCAAGGAGCCTGCTGTTGGTAGGGAGGTGACTTCTTGTGGTACTGGGGAGAGACTGAGAACCAGTGGGAGAAATGGGGACAAGGTGAGAAGATGAGGTAGATAATCATGGGGAAACAAGACTGCAGCAGAGAACAACATCCAGGAGGAAATGGGAACTGATAACTAAACAGAAGAAGCAGAGGAAGAAGAGGGAGAACTTTATCTAGAAGGAAGCAGTATGTGCGGCAAGAGAGTAGGAACCACCTGAATAAAGAACAAGGCAAGGGGAAAGCAGGAGACTGAGCTTGGGTTACAGAGGCCAGAGCAGGTGTAAGATCATGTCATGTGTGATACACTGAGTGTGAAAGAGCAGTAAGTCAAGACAAGAGCCATAGGAGCACTGATACTGGGTAGCAAAGAAATGGTAGCTTGAAGTTACAACAAAGATACCAAGAATTAATTGAAATGTGGGGAGATGAAGCTATGCATGTAGTATCACAACACAGAGCTGTCCAAAGAGGGAGGTTGCACTCCTGTCGTGGTTTTACCACATCTGCTTTTCATCTTTAGTGCTTGTTGAGCTCTTCCATGCACCAGCTCAGCAGCAGGACCCTGTTGGAGCAGCTAGCAACTTGAGTCATCTCACAAAGGGGCCTTGGGAGAGCAAACTACTGGAATGGGAGGCGTAGTATGACCTTCCTCATGGTCTGCAGTGAGCTGTTAAATCTCCTGACAGACTCACTGCACAGGTGAAGAGAAGTAGTTTGAAGGAAGGAGCCTGCTGCAGAGGAGGGAAGGGGCTGGAGCAGTAACAGGCTGGGAAGAAAGGGTCAAGTCTGAGAGGGAGAAATTGGCAGAAAAGTGAACCTGTTAGAAACATTCCTTCTGAGAATGCCTAGGAGATTCATGATTTTTTCAGTTTCACCATTTATTGCTGTTTAGAAAAAAATTTTAAAAGCCAGAGGAAAGGTGCAGATTTATATGGCAGTAACACGATAACATTCATCAGTAAAAGCAGAAGAGGTTTTCGCAGTAGGCCTAAAGGCTCTCCTGCTGCTGCAAGATAGGTCTTGATATAATTTGAGCATCACAGAATTTCTCCCTGATTTAAAGGCCTTCAGAAACTATGCATATAGGAAAGTAATACTTTCTTAAAGCTGTAAAATAAAAAAATATGAAATGTAAGTGCAATCTTAATTTGTTGCATTTACATATATACACCATTATCTTTGCATTTACATATATACTATACACCATTCATTTCTCCCCAACATCTCCACTTTAGCCAGAATAAAGAATGAACAGTATTAAAAAACCTCATGAATATTTTGTTTCTCATCATAATTCTATGTCTTTCAGTGCCCTATTCAAATTCTGATCTGAGTAACTGGTAATTTCCATAAGCACAGTGAGTGATCTCCTGTAGTGAGATGCTGTTGCATACATACATTAAATTTTCATTTCTCCCCAACATCTCCACTTTAGCCAGAATAAAGAATGAACAGTATTAAAAAACCTCATGAATATTTTGTTTCTCATCATAATTCTATGTCTTTCAGTGCCCTATTCAAATTCTGATCTGAGTAACTGGTAATTTCCATAAGCACAGTGAGTGATCTCCTGTAGTGAGATGCTGTTGCATACATACATTAAATTTTCACTCTGATCTGCATACAGAGAGCTGAAAGATGAGAATTTAAAAAAAAAAAAAACCCAAACCCCAAAATAAACTAACCACTGTCCCCAAAACCCACTTAGCTGGACACATCCATACTTACTAACCTGACAGAACACAATTCAATGTTTTTTCTGTATTACTAGTCTGTAAATAAAAACCCAGGAGCTGAGGAATGATCCTGAAGAGTGCTGTGGCTTGTATGGGCTAAGTCTGTTGTCATCCTAGAAGCTCTGCTGGGTTCCAGAGGCAGAGCATGGTCATCCTCATTTTGCAGGGTGGGGGTGATGTGCATTTGCACATTTCTTCTGTGCACTTTCCCACCTTGCCTGCTCTAGACATGGACTGATTTGTAGGTGTCATCCATCCAGTTCTCTCAGTTATGTGTAATATTTCTGATTTCATTCCATGAGTAGTTGTTGAAATGCTGTCCATTGTTTAGCAGCTGTCGGTGGGGTGTTTTGGGCTCTGTTTTTTGGGGGGGTTGGTGGATGAATGGCAAACAGGTGCTGCACAGGAGTTTTGCAGATCATTCTGATACTCAGATGTGATGCAATAGAGTTGCCAGCCTGTGTCATTGGTAGTATTGGAAATGCTTATATAATTGGAAGTTTTGACCATCTTCGATAGCTGTAATTCTGAAGCTTTAGATACCTGGACAATTCTCCTAAAATCCCTTGTTTGAGAGTGCCATTAACTTGTTTAAACACAGTATCAAGTTAGCATAGCAGTGGAGCATTTGATATCAAGTAAAAATAAAACACAGTATAACAGAATCCTTTGTGACCATTTAGACACAAGGGGCCAAATTCAGCCCTGTGGACTCCACAGGTGTGATACAGCATATCTGTTCTGTGGAATTTCTGAAATTTATCTGTGCTGGGAAAAGTTGTTTTGCTTATGAGTTCCACTGCTGAGAATTTATGTATTGGCCTCCCTCAGCAGTTTTGTATTAGCATTTATCTGGCTGTAACTCTCAAGCAAACAGTGTACCAGCATCTGGGTGAGATGACCTGATACAGCCTCTTCAAAGGTGAAGTGACTACTGTATACCAAAAAAACCTAATCATCCTTTCTTTTTCTTTTTGTTTCCTTTAATTTGCATAATTAAAAGATGGATTTACTTTAACTCTATTTATTTATTTCCCCCCTTATTTCAGCAGGCTAGGCGAGTTCTTGTTTGCATCTATAAAATATGCTTGGGAAAGATGAAAATGATCTTTGCCTTAAGGACAGTGCTCAAAACACTCTGAGCTTCCAGACAAATCTATGTTAGGTCAGAAATGTAAAGTTAGCTGTCTATTTTGCAGTAAATATTACCAATCAGTGTGCAAGCTGCCTATGAATTTTGTAAGAATTGCTTCAACTGTTAAAATATTCTAATGCTTAGTATATGTTTTTTATTATAAAGTAGAAATGGCTAAAATAGCAACTTTCATGTTAATACAACTTGGTATTTAATGAACAGATTCTGCAAACACTGAGCTTGGGACCTGATGTCACAATCCTGTGTCTTGACATAAGTTTGGAACATTCACTGTACAAGGTATTGCTGTCTGTGTTTTCAGGGTAGAGCTCTAAACAAGCTGTTCTGAAACACATTGCTTAAAACTGTGCATGTTTCTTTGTTCTCCCTGCTCCAGGTGTGATGGACAGGTAGCAGAAGGTTTCACTTTGATATCAGGGGATCAGAATGACCGAGTGCTTCCTGCCTCCCACGAGCAGCCCCAGTGAACACCGTCGGGTAGAGCACAGTGGGGGTCTTGCTCGTACTCCCAGCTCTGAGGAGATCAGTCCTACAAAATTCCCTGGATTGTACCGCACTGGTGAACCTTCACCACCTCATGACAGCCTGCATGAGCCTCCAGATATAGTATCTGATGATGAAAAGGAACATGGGAAGAAGAAAGGAAAATTCAAGAAGAAAGAAAAAAGAAGTGAGTAGACAACTTCTCTTATTTTATGCTTTTAATTTCTATTTCCTTCTTTTCTCTCAAAATTGCTTAGTATTCCCAGCGGGTTTTTCTAAACTTGTTTAGGTGTGTAGGAAGTTGACTTGTTACAGATGTACTTTGTGCAGAACCTCTTTCTCTCACAAGAAACCCCACACCCTAACTAAGAAATGGGTTTGGATTTTGTGGCACAGATACAGGGGCCAAGCATGTGGCCAGAATTACTAATAAATGTGTTTATCCAAAACCTTTAATGAGGCACTGCTAAATGCCTGGCCTGGAGTTCTTCTAATCCCATTATCAGTTCATACTCTTAAGTGGATGTTTTCAACTGTATTTCCAAACAGATCCTTTTTTAATTGTAGATGAGGTGCCAGCTACAACAAAGCTGTATGTTTGACCTGAATTTTATACTTTTTAAATTTAGAAGAGTCAGTTTCAACAACTTCAACCCTTTTCCCATGTGTCTCTTGTGTTCAGTTTGCTTTTGTGTACCATCTCAAGTTTTCATGTGAACACTGCACCATTATTTGAGGAGTAATAGAATCTGTGTCCTCTTTTCTCTAGCTTCTCAGTTAGTCTGATCGTGCACTTTCTTCCAGCAGTGCCAAAGTATTATTGCATAGGTCAGAAATGTGCAAGCCAACATTGAGATCTGAATTTTACAGAGCAAAGGTTAGAAGAAAGTTAAGCTTTTACTATAGAATCCATTCCTTGTCAGTGTATCAGTGTCCAGAGTGGAATTCTCTTTTACAAAGCGTACCCTCCTTCAAAACAACAGAAATCTTACTTTCTGCCTTTAGATTTGTGCAGAAGATTTTGGAAACATGAAATGATTTTTATCCAAGAGAGGTTTTTTTACATGTTCTGAAAGAGCAAAGCGCTTTCATATAGTAAGCTGATACTGAGCACTCTCAGTACCAGAAAGATCCTCACTGTCAGTCTCTGAAACTTCAGTATCACAGTCCAAGTGCTAGTGCTTTTTAACTGACATTTGTTTTAGCAAAATTTTAAAATAATGTTCCTCTTCTACAATGTCTGTGGCTCTGATGCCTCGAATTTTTGGGTGCCAGTATGTCTTTCTGGTTCTTACACGTGGAATTGGGTAGATCAGAAGCAATGAGAGCGCACAGCATCCTGTTAGAACTAATATGGTGACTGTCCATAATGTTCATGCACATATTTAAATAGTTACTCTTTCAGAATTTGCTGTCAGTGCTCTGCTTTTAATCAAACCAGTTTTCCTGGAATGCAGGAATTGTTTCTACTGTGCTATTTTAACTGAAAACTGTGTGCCTAAAGAGGACTGTAACTCGAAAATGCACCCTCAACTTGAACCCAACAGTTTGAATTCCTACAAGTTTTAAGAGAAGTGATTCCTTAGGGGTTTTCTCTCATGTAAAGAACATTAACCTAATAGAGATTATTGGATTAGTGATGAAAATTCAGTGTTGACCGGATAAGTCTAAACTCAGGCTATTAGCAGTTGCTTTTTACTGTTTGCCAACCAGCTTTCTGTTAGAGTTCTGCACTGCACACCTCTGCATTGTGTGGGTTTCTTTGTGGTGGGATTCGACATGCCCCATGGTGATAGACTAACTGAAGACTGAAAGGAAAATTGCTTCTTCTGCAAATCCCTGCAGGTCTGTGCACATTAGCACTGGAACTGCTGTTTTCTGCAAGAGATTGCAACACATTTTATAGCTGAGCTAAAGCGGTTTTTGTTACTTAAAAGAAACTTTAAAGGTATGAAAAATCCTCAAAGAACACAAAATTGTGAAACAAGGGAAGAACCAAATCATCTCTTGCAGCTGTAATGTAAAAAGAATTCAGCATTTCTTAGCCCTGTGTGTGTTGTCTAATTGCCAGACACTGGCAATAATTACACTGTAACAGAGTAAGTTACAAACAAAGCTTTCAGTGCACCTCATACTGTCCAAGAATAGTCATTATTGTCAGTATAACCTGAACAGACATTTCACTTGTGTGAGCGATGAGGGTTCTCTGCAGTTGCTTATCATGGTTTAAGAGTTGCCCTTTCAACATTGACTTTTGTTATTCCTTCCATACTTCTGATTCTTCATTTTCTTCCACCTTTCAAAACCTGTTGTATGTGTTTGGGTTCTTTCTTTTCATTTTCTGGCTACCTGCTTTGACTTTGGGCCATACGTAACCTTCCGTGTTCATGGAATTTGGGTTTTAAACAAATGTAACTGAACATGTCAGTGATAAAAAGACAAGTGTTGACATTACATTATGACAAAGTGAATGTTTGTTGAACTTGCAATATTAGCAAATCAGTGGCAAGGTCATCTTAACTCCTGAAACTGTGTATAACTAATCCCACCAAGATCTTGGGCTTATTTTGATAATACTCTGAACGTAAACCTCAGAAATGAAGACCAGGAGGATCTATAGGGAGTGAAGGCTGAATATCCTAAAGTCACTTATTTTAGTTTTCCAGGTAAATCCTGTTTGCAAGAGCAATGTAATCCTAACTTCAGCATTCTATCCTGTATCAAAAAAACATTTCTGTACACTAGCAAGGGACTTTTTTTCCTATGTGGTTAGTATGATTTGATATTTTTCATGTTAGTGGCAATAACCTAATAATACACAGCAATTATCCTATGGGAAAGCGCTAAAAAATGTTTTGGAGCTAAGAGAAAATGAAATGGAATATTGGGGTTTTTATGTGGAATGTCAGCTGCTGGAAAAATGTTTCAGCCACTAGTTTCTGTTCTCCACTCCTCTGTGACAGACTGAGTGATGGTTGGCTGTGAGTTAGATTAGGGGATTTATTAGGGATTAAAAGGAATTTTCTTTTACTGACATAGTTTTAAATCAGATCTGACTCAAACAGAACTCGTACTGTGACAGCAGGAGAGCAAAAATTGATCTTTTTTAGGGAGTAATGGTTTATATGAGACAGCAACCAATGCAGTTGATTTTTACTAATGTTTAACTGCCTGTCAGTAATCACATGTCGATAAAATCATGAAATATGCAGTTCCTTGCAAAAGAAAAGGTTTTAAGAAATGCTTAAGAGGAATCAGCTATTCTGCCCATTAGAATTGCTGTAGATAAAGAGTCTGTATGTAGTAGATCTTACTCTGCTTATTAGTTTTACTTCCAAGATTGATCCTGTTGGGCAGGATCAATATGCAGCTGGGATTTTGCTTAGAGTAATTTTCTGTTTCTTTTTATAATTCTTGGGAGAATAGAGAATTGTTTGAATTGTAAACTAAACTATCTTGTGCAAGGACAGTAGTATCATTGGTGTGAACTCTTCTGAAAATTTCAGGGAATAGTTTTGAAGACCCTAATGTGTTGGCTTGGGGGTCAAGTGTAAGTAGAGTAAGTGTTGGTAGTGTCTGTAAGGTGGAAGTTTCTGTTGACAATAACAATACATCTTGTGGGTGAGGAGAGGAAATAGAAGTCATCTACCAAAGCTCACTGTGCAGTCATGTGCCTTACAGTTTTATTTAGAGGTGGTACACACAATTTGGCTGCAATCTCTCTGAGAAATTGAAATCAGGTAACTAATGCTGGGATTGCTCATTGGTCATGTTTGACCTACTAATTCTTCCATGTGTGAAAGCCATCCGTGGTTTTTTTCAGTGCATTAATTACAGGTGCTGCAGATTTCCCTGGGGAGCCAAATCAGCTGTAGAGTTATAAATTATTAGAAAATCATCAGAGACCTGATGGACAAGTGTGTCTTGCATTGGGTTTGCTAAGTGGCAGCTCTACATAATGGAACCTGTGAGTTGACAATAAATCCTGCAGCATGACTTCGTAGCTTTGTTGTAGCAGTGCAGGAAAAGTATTCCTAAGTGTGCAAACTGATAGAAACAGTGACCACTCTGCATGGCAAAGCTTTTAAGCCTGTAAGATTTTTCCAGTGAAAATTCCACTGGAATTTTTTTCTGTCATTATTATTATTTCTAAAAAAGGTTTTCATAGTTCTCAGTAAGATAAGGGGTGTACTTGCAGCATCACGTTTAAAATGACTGCAGTGAGGACATGCTGGTGGAAGGAAGGTCTAACAATGCCTGAGCAAGGAACTGGCAGAAAGTCCAGCTGTTAATGCCAGTGGAATTGGAGTATTTATCACATTAGTACTGGTCTCATATAGGTTTTGGAAAATGACATGAACACGTAATACAGCGATGAGAAAATGGGGACTATTAGTAC